GAAATAGTTTTTTATTGACAGCATTTTAAAGAAGACGTGTCCAAGAAAATGTCGCCAATAACGCAAACTGAGTATAGAGCAGTCATAAAGTTTTTGACAAAAGAATTGTTAGTACCTAAAATCATTAAAGAAGGGCTGGATGGTGTATACGGCCAAAGTGCCATTGTGGAAGAGGTGGTATTGAGTGATCGACGTTTAAAGAGCAAGGAAATCTCAGAAATTACTAAGCTTTCTGATACAAGTGTTCGTCGAATCCTGTGTGATAATTTAGGTATGCATAAGGTTAATGGAAGATGGGTTCCTAAAAACCTTTCGGCTATTCAAAAACAACGCCGTGTCGAGTGGGCGCGGTCTTTTTTGAAACTCTGTGGTTCGGAACCGAAGCCTGTGATAGAAACTATTGTGACGGGAGATGAAACTATGGTCCTCTATTATAACCCTCTATCGAAAAAAAAATCAATGGAATGGCGTCGTAAGGGTGAAGCAACTCCAAGAAAATTCAGAGTCTGCCAGTCAACAAAACAGGTGATGGCCACGATCTTCTGGGATTGTGAAAGAATTCTTTTGATAGATTTTAAAGAAACTAATACCACTGTCAATGGTAAATATTACGCAACATTATTACATAAATTGAGAGACTGCATACATGTAAAACGTCGAGGAAAACTGACTACAAGCGTGCATCTTTTGCACAATAATGCACCTGTCCACACTGCTAGTATTGCACAAGCTGCCATTTTAGAGTTTGGGTTCCAACAGATAGATTATCCTCCGTATAGTCCAGATATGACCCCCAGCGACTATTATTTGTTTGGATATTTGAAAAGGGACTTACGTGGACGGCGGTTTAACGACGAAGTTGAGTTAAAAGAGGCTGTTTTAGCTCATTTTGCAGACAAATCAAAAGAATATATATTTTTTAAGGGATTGAGTTGTTAATAAAGAGATGAATTGAAGGGGGATTATATTGAAAAATAATAAAAAATTGTTACTCTACTTTGTTTCTTTCATATTCAGGCTTTGAAATTTTGGCGCTGCCCTCGTAAATAGCATTATTAACAATCCAACATAGCTTGACAACTAAATAAAAAGTAATAATATTATTTTCATGATAGATATTTTTTGCCAAATTTTCTAAAAAAATATTTTGCTCCAAAACGTCTCAATCCAAATAAATAATCAGAATTTTTTCATTGGAATTTATTTCACTGCATTTAGAAAAATGAAGTTGGTGTTTGATACGGGTGGGTGTGGCAAGGCTGTTATGTTTAATATATTTTTAAAACCCCGTATAAGCAAAAAAAAATATTTAAAATTTTTGTCACCTGTACGTTTTTTTTTATACTGGAAATCCCTCATATTTTCGCGGACCGATGTAGGGCAAACAAATTGATGAGAGCTTTAAAGCGGATGGGAAATTTTATTGTCCACGACATCTGGGTGTTTGAAAGATCTTTCCCTATAAAAAGGCCACACGGTAATGGACAACCATTAGCTAATGGCAGATCTAGAAACGAAACGGCACACACGAATATATACGTTTATTTGGGACAAACCTCTTGCGTGCCACATTCGATGTGTAGTGACAATCGCACTAAAACTGAGAATCACTATGAGCTTCGACAAAAAACTTTATAATAACGCATTCCAAATCAACATTCTACAGAAATATAACTAAAGAGCGCCAGACACGAAAAAAAGGTTGGTACACAAATTTCTTGGACTCTCCTGAAGATTTAAAACATTATAATTTTGTTGATAGAGGGTGTCCCAAAAGTGTCCCCTCCCCATCAACTTTGTTATTTTGAATGGAACACCCTGTATATATTGACATTTTTGGAATCCTTGGTTAAAATAAACGCCGCTTTCTTAATAAATTCTTATTCGAATTTTGCATAGTCTAGGCAGAAATTGAGGTTATATGTTTTTTTTTTCATATTTTGATTGCCCCATATAAAATTGTGTTGTGACGCTACTGATCCAGGTGTTGCAATTTAACCACAGATTAAGGAGATGACTCAATCAGTTTGACAGCAGCACCTCAACTTATACAGGATGTCCCAAATAGGTGGTGCCGTTTTGGCCAATTTATTTAACGAAATTTTCAAATGTAATACCATATATTTTTATTAAGATATCAATTATTGGATAAAAAATAAGGTAAGTTGTAATTTCATACAGAACACATCTAACGCTTCTGTCTATAACGCTTATACAGGGTGTCCCAAAAAAAGGTTAACCTGCCAACTGGCTGAAACTGTGAACATATTTTTGGCACATGTGTACCAACATAACAAAAAGCTATCGAAGATGGAATGTACGTCCCCGCCCAATTACAAAAATCACCTTACTTTTTGAACACAGCTTGTATTTATAACTGGTTATTGTTTGGTGGCAGACACGATGCAATTTTCTAGGACAAAATGGGCTTGATTATTTTCGTGGAATTTCGTTTTTAGATGTTGTTTTTTAATTTTGGACATTTAATATAAACAAAGTTTTCAATGTTGGAACATCTTAAGTACACTCTTCAGCGAGAAGATTATAGGTCGATTGAGAGGACTACTTAGGCCAAGGCATATACTAAGTCATTGTATGAAAAAAATGTTATGTGATTCCATTGTTTTGTCAATTTTTAATTACTGTGACGTAGTGCATGGACCATGTCTAACGGTTAGACCTTCGAATAAGATAAAAAAAAAAAATACAAAAGTACTGCTTAATATGGCATACCACTGCATAGACAGCCAGTTAGACACAAAACAAAAAGATGCTTGCTAGCTAAATATGAAAACAAGATACTCAAATGCCGCCTATACTACAAAATTGTTAAATTTAAAAACCCAAATTATCTTTTTTTCTAAAATTAAATTCCTTACCCATGTTAATACCCTAAATTTAAATTTAGATCAAGGTATTTTGATAGATCTTTTACGTTTGACGAATTCCTTCCTATAACGACCCTTTCCTGTGTCTTCGTGGTTGCTAAATCTCAACTTTCCAAACATTATTGCAAGAACATATTATTTTATTTTTCTATCGTGTTCCTATGGACCACTATTAAACTTTCGCAAAATCGAACTAATTTTATTATGCACCCCGTATCGTTCAAGCCGAATTTCAGAGTTATTTCAGAGAGTTATTTGTTCAAATAGCAGAGGTTTCGAATGACATTTCTCCCAATATCTCGGGCACCTTGTATAGTATACGAAACCCGAAACTCTCTCGATAAAGTATACCTGTTTAAACCTAATTATCCCATGTTTTATAATTATTCATTTGCGGCTGTAATTTTATCGACCAAAACGGCACTTTTCAGGGTTTTTTAGGTTTATTATCGAAAAAATGCTAAAGGTAGAGGTTGTAGCAGTGCATCTTCCACGTTTCCTGGTATACGAATTTTTAATTTTTAAATGATTTTCAAGAAAATATGTTTGCCGAAAACTATGCTGTACGTAGTACTAGAAAATGATTTCATCGCGTCTAGACTGGTTTGGTCTAGACCTACAGGACCGTCTACAGCTATTTATTTACTCCCGAAAAGAACAATTGTCAGGGTATTTTGTCCCTAAGTCAAAAAAACTGTATATGCAAAAAACTACAAAAAATATTATTTTTCAAAAACTGTTTACGAGACCAAAAAAATTCTTGAACCAGGAGAACCAGAAGATACGGCTCTATAAACTTTTATTCTTAACAAATTTGCAAAAATATACAAATTCAAAAAAACTGAAGAATGGGTCCCCCTATTATCGAAAATTGGTTATAACTGAAAGACTTTGCATTTAAATTTTTCACATATTTTACAGGGTGTTCCCGATATTCAGTGCTAAATGAGAAATGTGCTAAGTGTCCTAAATTTGCAGATATCAACTTCAAATTTAGCAGAGAAGTAAAAGTGCTTGTCCACATTTAAACGGTAGAAAATGCCAAATGCCAAATTTTGCCAAGTATTTTTTTAACATTTTTGACATTTTTTTTTGGTAATTTTAGCTTCCAGAAAAATATGTTTTCCTCCATAATCGTTCACCCGATCGGCAAAATTCTTTAACCGGCAGACGCAGAAGATCCAGTGCGATAACATTTATACAGGGTTTTCAAATTATGGGCAAAAATCTGACGATGACGTCATTCATTATTACGGCGCACTGCATGGCATGAAAACCATTTACTATTTTCAAAAAATTCTTGAACCAGGACGCGTAGAAAATCCATGGCCATAAGCTCTACTTCGAACACTGATTGTATCATATACAGGGTGTGTCGTTTATGAGCAAAAAATCTGAAATGTCCTAAAAATTTCCGTTTTTGTGGCTAAATTATTGGCGATAAATAAAAAACCGTTAAAGATGGGATAATTTTATTTGAACAGTATCGTAAACCGTGTCGTGAGAGAGTTTCAGGTTTCGTCAATTATACAGGCCGCGAGATATTTGCAAAAACATCGAACTTGCCCCGCACAGTGACAATTTTTTGAAAGCAATCTTGTTAAAACCGTTCGGAAGTTATTCTTATATATATGAAGAAAGAACTTTCGAAAAATTCTATTTCATCGATTTTTCGAAAGCAACAAGATAATTTGTTGGTAGATGGCAATAAACGCAATTGTTCATTTTATGTATTTTCAATATCGAACAATAGAATTCCAAATAATTTATCACCACTCAATAGAAACGAGCGAGCAAAATTAAATTCAATTATAATATTACAAATTAAATAACAACTCCAAACTATCCGATTCCGTTTCTTAGCCATTCCTCTCACGGCTGTTCTGCGTACATACGGACTTTCAAGTTCTTTCAAGTTTGATGTTGTCTCTGGGGTGGCACATGGTCTTGCGGGGGGGTCAAAGACGACTGTAATGAGTTTCCAATTCCCCAAGGGCCTAACCCGAGCCGCAGCTATCCTTATTGTATCCCGCCTTTTCCTTATTTTCTTTCCGGAATAGTCCGGGAAACTCGCTCGTTGTTGTTTTTGCGTTCCCTGTTTTAGTTTTAAAGAGATAATAGACGAGGATAAGGTAGAACAGCGAATGGGGTAATTGGTTTTCGACCGTCTTGTTTCTATAGCGCAACGCGTTAATGTTTTTGGTAGCTATTTATTTATAACGATAACGCTAAATAATTACACCTATACGACGGATACAACTAGTGTTAAAGTAACTGCAAATCCCAGAAATGCCAAAGATGGAGCGACAGTCTCCGTGTTGGATTCCATGGAGGTTTCTAACTTAAGAATTACGCAGTCATGGGGTCCAAGTTCTGCTTTATCTGCACAATCATCGCTGAAATTTGAAAAAAAAATTATACTTTGTGCCCTGAACTACATTTTTTTTTTCGCCTATAGAATTTCAATATCTTCTATTAGTATCTTAGTATATTAGTACTTATTATAGCTTGTTTCTTAATGACAGTGAATAATAAGATGTAAAATGGCAATTTGCAGGGTGCACAACTTAAAGGTTATATTGTAAGGTCCAGATTAGTTACAATGATACACCTTGCATACAATAGACCTTTCATAAGTTTTGAAGAAGTGATTAAATAAATAAATAATCGTTTATTGACCACTTATAAATACAAAAACGTATTTTTGAAGTCAGGAAGAGTACAAACAAGATAAATATGTTACATATAAACAGTTAAAGCAGTGTAACTAGAAAGTAAAACTTTGTATATAAGAATAATTAATTACAAAATAAACTACTATGTAACAAATTCGTTTATTGGTTTTTTGATAATTGCTTGAATTTTTTAATGGAAAGTCGTTTAACGTCAATATTTTTGGACCGAAAAAGAGTGTACACAAATGATTTTAATGTTATGATATTCTCAGCTGTTTGAATCATGTAGCTGTGATATCCAGCATCAGTCGGAAAGACAAACAAATTTGAGTGGATTTCAATCTAAAGTTTGGAGAATAAACATACATGGTAACGTAAGTATTTTCAATTTTTTGAATATTGCAGACCGTAGGCACAATAGTAGCCCATATAAGACACTGCCAAACAGTGCAAAATAAACTATACGGATAGGGCTTGCAGTTATCTCAGAATAAAAACCTGAGAAGACCACTGACAGCACAGGTAGTCAATATGAAGCGACCAGGTTAAAAATGCATCTAGGTAAACACCAAGGAGTTTAACCGGTTCAGATTTTTTACTTCTTCTATTGGTATTGAAAATTATGGTCTTTGTTTTAGCGGAATTTAATTTAAGTTTATTTGCAGAGAACCGCTGCTCAATCATGGAGAGTGTAGTGACAGCCTTTTTATTTAAATTAGTTAGATCTTTCTCCGATTCAATCAATGATATGTCATCCGCAGCATTTGTTACAAATACTACCTCATTTATGTATATTACAAACAAAAGTGGACCAAGAATGGAACCCTGAGGCACTCCATTAGTAATGTCCAATCCAATAGATTCCCGATCATTCCAGACAACACATTGCTTTCTTCCGGTCAAATAAGATAAGGTAATAAATGTTTACAGAAAGGTCTACATTATTTATGTAAAATACGAAGCCTAACCTAAATAGTTTAAAAATTTTAAAACATATTTTCGCTTTTTTCATTTGTTTTTAACTCTTACATATTTTTTTCTAATAATTCAATTATTTTTATCAACATGCATTTATATTTATTAATTTACTTGTTACTTCGAGGTGCACAGAAAAAATTATTGAGATGCTTTTTAAAATCATTTGATGATTTTCTTCATATATAAAATTGTAAAATAATGATCACTTCAATTCTACTGGAAGAACTTTTTTTGCATTAAATTGTTTGATTCAAGTGAGGAGTGAAGTGAACTATTTAAATGTTTATTATTATTCGTTTAACAATGTGATGCTTTTTTTTATATTTGATATACTATTTATAATGTTACACACTTACATCAATGTGAGTCTAACGGATATAAATGTTATTATTATTATTGTTGCTATTATTATTTTCATTATTATTATTATTAAAATGTAGAATCGTTAATGACTAAAATCTATTTTGGTTATTACGAAATTTTTTTAAAACAAGTAAAGAAAACGACTATAAATATTACTTACTAAAAACTGAAAATAAAAAATATTTTAGACATATGTAAATAATAGAAGTAATAAAACTCGTTACCCTTAACAACTAGTTTCTAGTTACTTCAGTAGGATGTCTAAGCCGAATAATAGTCGTTCCTACATTTCATCAAATTATTTAAATACAAGCCTCGAAATCTACAATTTTTCGGACGATTCTGTCTGAAAAATACTGCTTGCTTTAAATCTAAAAAAAGCCCAGGGCCTGACGGCAATTTTTAGAATGTTGTCCAACTTTGGTATTGCCTCTCAATATTATTTTTAATAAATGTTTAGCACCGGGTACATTTCCAAAACGTTGGAAAGTAGAAATCTTAACAATCCAGAATAATCTCGATAGGTTCACTGCCTACTGTAAAAATCACAAACTTTTTTTATATTTCGATAAATGCAAAGTAATAGAGTTACCAAGATAAAAAGAACCTGCTAATATTGACTTAAAATTAGACTAATCAAAACTTAAAAAAGTTACTCATACTAGACTCTCAGTTAACATTTGCACATGTAGTAAATATCGTAAAGAAAGGCTTGAGAAACCGTGGTTTTGTATTACATAACACTAAAGGCTTTAGCAACAACAAATCAGTAATTCTATTTTATAATACCACATTAATCTTGGAGTACCCCACTGCATGGAATCTGATCGATCGGATTGAGAGTATCCAAAAGAGCTTTTTATAAACCTTAATTTTGGATATAAGAAAGACTACAATTAATATAAAAATAACCTACAGATTTATAAATGTAAAATGCACACTAGGCGAACTTTTTTTATAGACAGATTCAGATCTACTATTACTACTTCCCAAACTTGGCGCATCTCAGATGTGCTCGTATGTATAATAACTATGTTTTTCTGAATTAATTAATTAATTACTGTCCATTAGCTTATGGAATATCTGCTTGTTTGTCTCGACATTTTCAAGTAGCTGAAGAACTTCAGTTTTAACGTTAATTAAGCTTACCAATTCGACAAAATCATTAATTTTCAACAAGATGGGGCAAAATGTAAGAGACTACCTGGATCAAATATTTTCAAATCGGTGGATCGGACGAAGAAAGAATGGCCGCCTCATTCGCGAGATTTAAATCCACTAGATTTTTCCCTTTGTGGTCTCCTTAAACCTAAAGGGTACAAAACTAAGCCCAATATTTTAGGTGACTTGGAACCATAACACTGCTGAAAAAAGCACCTTTTTTCTTTGTTTTAATTGATACTTAAATTTACCAATTCGTTAATATGCAACAAGTGCGGCAAACGGCATTTGACTCACGAGTTTATTTGACACGAGCAGAGCGAGTGTTTAATAAACGAGTGACTTAAGTTTATCGAACGTGTTGCATACTATACCGTTAATTTTTGGGTATATTTTCGCAAAACAACACGAATACATTCACTCACATGACCGTCAGAATTTACAAACGTCGAAATATCTCCGAAAACATCCGATTGCTCCCAAACCCGTGCGGTAAAATCCCAGAAATGTCCAAAGTGGCTCGGATCCGTGAGAAACGAAACTGACGTCGTAAAGTGACGTTTCCCGGATGCTAGAGCGGTGTGTAATTAGGTATTTTGTAGACGGGAGTAGAAAAAATCGTTAATTATGTCGTTCATAAACTAGTTTATTAATTATTTTTGTTTATCATTCTTGCAAAAACTAAAAATAAAAACTTTGTCTAATATTATGAAATTGTTAAACATTAGTGATTGGAATAGTTCTACTTAATTGGGTGTGCTTTCAAGAACATTGTAAATATTTCGCGTGTCTTCATGCGAAGGTTATATTGCAACGCGATCTTACTTGGTGATGAACGGAACTGAAACCGAAACATCAAAAGAGTGACACTTCTATATTGTTTCCAGATGAAATGTTGATTTAATGCATGCAAATCGTTTCACATATTTTGTAGAATATTGTTTTTCTACTCCCGTCTGTAAAATACCTAATTACACACCGATTTAGCCTGCGGGAAGCGTCACTTTGCCATGTCAGTTTCGTTTCGGACATTTTGCCGCACGGGTTTGGGAGCAATCGGATGTTTTCGGAGATATTTCCCACGCTTTGAATTTTGACGTTTGTGTATTCTAACGGTCATGTCATTGAATATATTTGTGTTGTTTTGCGAAAATGTACCCAAAAACTAACGGTATAGTATGCAACGCTCTCGGTAAACTTTTTAACTCTTTCGTTTAATAAAAACTCGCTCCGCTCGTGTCAAATAAACTCGTGAGCCAAATGCCGTTTACCGCACTTGTTGCATAATATACTATAAATCACTCATAAGTTAAATGTCGCATAATATACTATTAAACATACTGATAACTGAAGTATTAGGTGATGTTGGCAAAATTATTTCCTCATGTTCACGAGGAGACAACAATGCCATCTTATCTCCTCGAGTGCCATCATCTGTGAGTAGATTTGATATTAATAATACTTTAACGCTAAAAACGCGCGTTAAAGTAAAAAAACACAATTGATCAAATTCACTTACATATTATTTCACAGACAGGTTTTATTTCATGAGTAGTAGGTAGGTCAAATTTCATGAAAATACATAGAGTCGTGTTGTATACGTGCATTATTAAAAAACGAATTCTTCTTAACAACTTTCTCTCTCTGTAAATCATTAATTGAGCAACAAGTTATATTGTAAGAAAAATTTTGTTTGAACATTTATTTTCATCTTTCATTCACCTCCAAACTTTTATTCTAGTTAACCTATGTTAAGACAATGTGTGCAACATTAATTGCTGGGCACAAAATCAGAAAACCAAAAATTGAATTGCATTTATATATAAAATGAATTTATGTACTGGGTATCCCAGTAAAACAGAAAACAATAAATATTAAGTGAATCGGCAAAAAGAAAATGCAAAAATTTGTTTTTGAGTTTTTAAAATGGCCGCCCTCGAGCGCAATCGCTTTATAACTCGGAGATTGCTCACCCTGCCACCAAGTGAAGTTTTGTTTACAAACAATTAAAAAAAAATTGATATGATATGAGTTTTTTATTATGTCCTAAGATAATAAAGGTCCCAACATCCCACCGAAAGTCGCATCTCAATACCATTCTTCTAATATAAAATATGAATAAAAGTTGGATTTTGGAAAAAAACTTCCACTTAACAGGGTGTTATTAATGTGTAATTGTTCCCAACGTATAAATAAATAAATAAAACACTAATTTATTTTTTATGATACCAAATGATATTTCAAATATAAATAAAATGTCATACTTGGCTTGCTTAGCGGGTTTCAAATATTTAGTATTATAACTGAATCTCCAACTTATAATTAGGTTTTATCGACTAAATAGAAAGTAATCACTTTCATTTTTATTGATTATTGATCTACAGGCAGTAGAATTTTATTCAATTATCAATAATTTCAATGCAATAAATATTTAACAAATTAAAAGTAATTAAAATGGTAGGAAATCAAAATACTTTGACGAGCATCAAATAACAGAAAAGATGCGAAGGCCTTTTTTTTTTGTTTTTTATATTTATATTTTATTTATAATAAGTGAATAATTTCTGTGGAACAATACTGCAAAATTGTCAGATGCGGGACCTTGGAAGTAATTATAAATAAGTAATAAACATGAATACCAATATTTTATTTTGATGTTAAATATCATTTGACACCATAAATAATAAATTAAAGGTTTAATTGGTAAATTCGGCATGATAATACATTAATAACAACCCATAAATTGGATTTTCTCTCAAAATCCACCTTTTTATAAAGATATTGTGATGAAGTTTTCACTGGAGTGTTGTATTTATTCTTTTTTCAGAAAATTATTTTTTTTTGTGTCACAAAAATCCACCCGGTAGCAAGGGTAACCACAATCGCGACACTTATAGCACTATTTTTAGACGTTGGGAGATATGGAAGTTTATTTAACATAAAATGTTCTCCAGCGTCAGCCCCCCCCCCCTAATGAACTTTCTTTTTAGAGACGGTATTAGACCAACAGGATTTGAATTTGTCTCAGATTTAAAATAGCATCCGAGACAAATGACAATTACGCCCATTGATGACCATTTCAGAAACTCGGAAATAACTGCCAACATTTTGTTTTGGTCGATTTATTTGAAATTGATTTTTTCGAATGTCAAGGACATGGGACGCCCGGTATAAGCATTAAACCCCATAGAAAGCCATATTGCACATTTCTAAAATCTTCATTATCTTCAATGAAACTTACTCTATGGCAAAACTGCTGTTAGTAGATGCCAGGGCGACCTTATACATTCCAGCTGTCTTCCAAATCTGTACTTCCTCAACAGAGTTACCGGCGTTGAACACGTAACTATAGACGTTGTCATCAGTACGTCTAACGATCTGGATGACGTTGTCCGATAGCGTTAACAGTGATAACGCATCAGATGAAACGTTCTTGAAATTTTCTCTGAATCGAATCAGCGACTTGTAAAGATTGTAATGGCTTTTTAAATCAGTGACGTTTTGTGCTGCAAGATTATTTGTGAGGTACTTCTCGCTGACCGGCAACCAGGTCGATTCAGCTTCGCTGAATCCCGCGTTGGAGCTGGTGTCCCATTGAAAAGGGGTGCGTTCAAAGTCCCTCGAAATTTCCGAAAATGTCGTACAGTTTTTAGTCGCCTGCGGATCGTAACCTTGCTGGCACGACACTTCTCCTACAATTTAAGAAACTTTCTATTGAACCAAGCCCATGTCCACCTAATTGCCTCGCATAAAGAAAAGGTATGCACCAAATTGCCAAATATGAGGTTAGTGAGACTATCAATGTACAACAGGAATTAAAACGTATACTTGTTGGGCAGTACAGTTTGATTACTAAAATGAGATTTATAGTATCTAGGAATGAAATCCTCATTGACCTGTATTGATTTAGTGTAAATGCACATATCCCAAAAAGAATTCCTTAAAATTGACCAAAATTAATCTTGTCATCTTAGAAGCTTTTCAAATTTTTAACTGATAAAGAGTAAAATACCCATATTTCAAGAAATTGAACAAAATGTTAAGAAAAGAAGAGTTTTTTGTTCGAAATATATTAAAAAATTTTTCAATAATTTTAAGTACTGTCGCAAATTAATCAAAATCAAATCAATTTAGCATATTTTGTTTCAATTCCGAATTATTTGTAAAATTGACTAAGCCGAAAGCTAGGCGATTATCAAGAGCACTTTCCTAATAGATAGGCGAACATCTTCAAATGTACGTAGAAGATTGACTGAAACAGGTACTTTGATAAATTGGCAAATCATAATCTAAAATCTATCTATTGATGAAAATCCGTTTCTATTGGACCTCAACCATGGCCCCCTAGGTCCCCAGATTGAAATGGTATTTACATGTCCTTTGTCTTTGCGTTTTTGAACTTATTGTGGTACATTCTTCTTTATTTCTACTGTTTTATGTATGGTCTACTTTGTCTAAATAAATTCCGCCCTTTTGGATGTGATGATATTTATAATTTCACTTTCCAGAAAAAGCATATCGCTAGGATAAGTTGTTCATTGCAATGGTTGTAATGAATTAAGATTTCTCAAATGATTTTCGGAGACTCCGCCCAATACAGCAAATCCAGCACATCATATGACTCTGTGCAAGTGACATATAAAGTTGTTTTAGAACAATCTCTGAGGTAAGTAAATTCTGCTTACAGTGTCCTAATCTTTTTGATAACGGTTTTAATGTGTAGGTCCCATCTTAAATGACAGTCTACAGTTATATCAAGATAGTGTATTCAGTCTCATCCACTTTCATACTAAGAAGATTCCAGATTTTTGTACTAGCCAAATGGAACGTTTTTTACCAGGTTTCATCGACAACTTCAACATTTGCCAAGCATTGTCAGAACAAATCAATACAGTATCATCAGCAAAACTCAAAATTTAACTTGCAGTTTTGCGCCTTGATGCACATTTGATAGTTTTTGTGTCGCCCTAGAACGGAAGATACAATAGAATATATCCCGAGATGTCATTCTTGTGAAAACGACTTAAGTGTATACAGATCGCTGTACTAATAGAAAATGACCGCCTCTAGACAACCATGTAATTATATCAGAATATGTGTCCTAATAATGAAACATTTGAAACTTCTCACCGTCTTCCATGCCAATTTCTTCCCCGTTATAAGTGACCTGTATCCCAGGCAAAAATGCGGCCAACATGTTAAAGGCGTCGACATTTTGAACCCCCAGTCTCGTAGCTACTCTACTGTTATCGTGATTTCCAAGCTGCAACGGAGCAATCAAGCAGCGTGAATAAAAAATCCTTCTAACTTACGACCCAGTTACTAGAATACTGCTCGGGAATAAAGCTTAGCCATTTGTCTATCGCCTGGATCAAATCATCAGCTGTAAATCCAGCTTTCAGATCCGATATCAGGTTGAAGTTGAATGTAAAATGCGCCCCCATCGTAGTCCCGTTTATGGAGCCGTAATATTTGAATGCGTCTTCTTGCGTTTCGGTGTAAGCTTCGGTCATCATTATCCTGCAACGCAAAGTTACGTTGTTGAAATTTAAGATATCGTTTCCGAAAAAATCAAAGACCTCGAGTAATTTTGGCCGACGTTAAAATCGTCCAAGACCCGTCGCCACTGGTAGATCATGTCGTAGGTTTCGTCTAGGTTTTTGGTGTAAGGATGTTTCAGGTACTCATAGTCAGTCGCAACGTAACCAGATACTCCTGAAAGGGTTTCCGAAAATCTGTTGTGGATTCCGCTACTCCCGAAAATGGCAGGTGTAAGAATATTTGATCTTAACATTTCTTAAACACCCTCTGTATTCAATTTATTTCATTAATCATTAATACTCATCGATTGAAATTTAAATTTTTATGTATTTTTTTGCTATTTAATACCAAGTTTCAAAAATTTGAATGTTCTTTTAATTTTTTGCAAAAAAATTAATAAATATATTTTGAAGATGTCAAAAATGATGTTTTGTCTTTTTTGTCAATTTACAAATCTTTTGGAGTCCTCCTTTTATTTCAATCTTATTTTTATAGATAATGAAATAATTTAAAGAGACCATTTAGAAAGAAATTTAATTTCTTTTTTTTTTCAATCAGATGTACGGTTTTCGCATAGAAAAATAAAAACTTCTTCTCTGCATTGTTTGTTAATAAATTAGTAACAACCTTTTTGAAAGAAAGTAGAACGCAGAAATTAGATAAGTTGTTGGAAGTGTTCTCCACCTTGAAGGATACACGCTTCAGCTCGTTCCCTCATACTCTGATTCTTATTAAATCACAGGAAGCTCTTCAGTAGTATTAACTGAGTTGCGATAAACCAGACTTTTAAGATGATCCCATAAGAAAAAGTCCGAAGTATTTAAATCTGGGCATCTAGGAGGTCACGGTTAAGGTCCGCCGCGACCTACCCTACTTTTTTTACAAAACTTCTGGTTTCCTCCGGCGTAGGTTTTTTTTGAGTCGAAACCGATTACAGAAGTTTCTGTGAAAAATTAACAAGCCTTTATGGAGAGGACATCAAGCGTAAAAGCAGTTAAAAGATCACCGACTGAAACTGGTAAGATTACTCTGGACACTGACCTTTTTGTTACGTTGTAGAGACCATAACGTTATCCCCGATTTTCTTAAAACATCCCATCAAGTCAAAACCCCATCCGAAAATCTAGTTTCGCTATACTTCGAGAAAGAATTCATCTTCTCTTCTGTTTCAACATCTTGAAATTGCTTCCATCTTGTCCCTGTCCGAGTTCGATACTATTTCAAACATGATTCATGACAAAGCTTTAAATCTTCGTTCATCTTTTATCCAAAATCACATTTAGAAATTTGCAAAACTATCGTCAACAGTAGTGAAACCATCAAACTCTTCTCAACTACCAAACACTGTGATAAATGTATAATCGCACCCACTTTCGAAAACGGAAAAATCAGTTTCTTTCAAATGTTTCCAACTTAGTCCTTGCCCCACGTATTATCCCAAAAGAGGAAATCATTTCAAATGTCAAATCTACCCTAAACAAACTGCCATCTCACACAGCTAATGAAATTCGATTTGAAACCGCAAAAATCCTTAAAAAATGAAAACCTAAAAAATCTAAAAAAAACACAAACAACGCAATCCTAAAAGCAGAGAAAGGAAACTGTGGTCATAATCACAATCAATATCAGGAAAAGATTCAAGATATTCTTACAGACAGATCATATCGTGAACTTAAAAAAGATCCTACGTCATCTATGGAAAGCAACCTTAAATCGGTTATTCAGGCTTCTTCTCTATTAGACTCCTTGAAAAAATCTTCCCAAAGATTCACAATCCAGTATTACCCCTTCGACATATTGTCAGCATCATTCGTTCCCTAACATATTCTTAAGCAAAATATCTAGCTTCCTTATTAAAACCCTTCACACGGAAAACTGGTTCTGGTCAGTTTCGACGTAAAATCCCCCTTTCCTAAAGTTCCTATTCCTGAAAATCATTTCAAATATATTAAAATGCAAGAATCTGCGGTCGTTGATGATACTTTTGTTATTTGGCCTTATGGTCAAGAATCCCTAGTAGATTTTCTTAGACATTTAAACTCCATACACCCTAACATACGTTTTACCATGCAATTAGAAACTAATAATCAGCTCCCATTCTTAGATATTCTTATCAATAGAACATCAAACCTACGTGCACAGACCGATACCCAAAAATCATCGGTTATCAACTTTTTCGTTACAGCCCGACTCACTGAACCCAGAATTAAAACACCTTACCACTGCTCTTCGTCAGCAATTTCGACCCAACAAAAACCGACGCAGAAGGAATCCAGAAGTTTTGTAAAAACTATTACAGTAGGCTGTGGAAGTTTCTTTGAAAGGTTTTTATTTTATAAGCGGAAACCGTACATCGGATTGCAACAATTTTAATCAGTGACGTGCCATCAATGTCTGCCAAAATAGACAGGTCAAATTCCGTACGCCTCAGACTGGAGTATTTAAAAAAAAGTGGTAAACTAAATAACGCCTCTAATGTGTACCAAATTTCATTAAAATATCTAAAGTGATATTATAGATATTAAAAAAAAGATAATTTATTTTTGAAAACTTTGCTGATCTGTGTCTCAAAAGTTAAGATTTTTGTAACATAGGTTCATATGAAGTTTTTTCTTTTTAAAATGGACACAAATATGGCCTGCTTTATTATTGACATTCAAATAGACAACCCTATATATTACCAACTTCCTTTTTAATTAATTACCTACGCATCATTACATCATGATTTAACTATGATTTCAAACTCAAAAAATTGTAATTTAACGTTCATTAAGAATTTAGTATTCGATCCTTTGGAAATCAATTTTATACAATTTTGAAAAATTTGTTTGAATTGAAAAAATGAAATGCCAAAGTTCCGTCATTTTGTCATGTTGTAATTTTCACAGTTGCTACAATAGTGCTACAGAAACAACTATTTGGGTGTCATAAAATTTTGTGCCAACAAAAACGAAGATTAAATTAGATATATTATTCATAATACCGATGCTTAAGTAAGTTTATGTCAATGCAATGTCACCTAATTTTTGATATACATATATACAGAAAAAAAGCGTTTTTCTTTTTTATTTTTGGAAACTACTTTTCTATATTCACCAGTGGTTCTGTAGAAAACATTATAATGGATATTTTTATCGAAAAAAAAACAACTGTACTCCACTGCCAAATATTAAAATCTTGATTAATCATTGGAATTAAATTAGAAGTTATGTACTCGTAACTGAATACGAAAATGAAGCATTAAACAAGCTGGAGGAATATAAGAAACATCTTAATTAGCCATTCAAATTGTCCCCAATCTGCAAGTATGCATACTTCAGCTCATTAAGTTTCGTCTTTCAAAAATTGCTAGAGCATTTCTGAAATACCCTTTATGTTAAAATAAAGTCATTGGGGAGGTCCCCAATCAATATAGGTACATTGATATCAACTCGTTTTCTTACTTGTTTCATACAAGAAATCCCTCCCTTAATGATTCGCATATTATTATGAAACACTCATTCGCACCACAGTGTTTTCCCAACCGTAAGATCTTGGCACATCGCGAGTAAGGAATGAGTTGCTTATTACCTGAAAGGGGTTCATCACTGAAGGAATCATCCTCAAATAAATACGGTACGGCGTCCATTCTGAACCCATCGGCTCCAAAATCCAGCCAGAAGAGCAATATTTCCTAAAATCGCACTCTTTATTAATTTTATGCTACGAAAATGAGAATTAGGACAGCAATTGGTAGAATTCTGGTACAAGAATAATTGCAACCTCTTGTTTAAGCAGACACTATAAAAAGCTATAAAACAACCGTATCTATCTGGTTTATACGTTTGTTGTTTGGGGTGGTCAACAAAAAACCCCCTACTGTTCACTAAAGATTTGTCTAATAAGACTGTAGTTTCCCCAAGTAGTCAACTAACAAAAGTGACCTTTTAAGCTCGCTGTGAGTTCATTTGCAAAGGCGGTTGATGCTCCCGATCTATAGATCAGTTGGAGAAGACCTTTTCTAGATATCAGTTCCATTAGAAACTCTAATCTAATATGACAAATTGACTTACAGAGTTTCCTACAGACTTGAAACGGATTCTACTCACCTTCATAGCCGCAACTACTTTTGGATTGCGATAGTTAAGATCTGGCTGGGCAGCGGAAAACTGGTGCAGGTAATACTGTTGCCTAAGCTCGTTCCAAGTCCACGCAGACCCTTTAAAAAGACTGACCTGATCCGAAAAGAATACGCATTGAAGTTAGTTGTAAGCTCCACATAATCGAGCGAAGAGCACTTGCCCAATTGTTGGGAGGGTATCTGGTATGATCGACAATTTTTGCATCCCTCCATATGTAAAAATCCTTGTATTCTTCATCATTCTCGATCGATTTTATGAACCAATCATGTTCGCTACTGGTGTGATTGGGTACGAAGTCGAGGATGATTTTTATTCCTGCGTCGTGAGCAGCTTTTATCAACTCTTTTAAATCCGATATGGTACCGAATATGGGGTCTAAAGTAAAATGGGAACGTACTTCTAAGATTAAAAAATGCAATGCTTTGCTTACCGATGTCCCTATAATCAGATATATCATAACCTTGGTCTACTTGAGGGGACCTAAATATGGGGGATAGCCAAGCTGCTGACACACCCATATCTTTCAAGTGGTTGAACCTTTGAATTATCCCTAAAAATACAGTTCCCGCAAAGTTCATACACATATACACAAAATCAACTATGCTTCGTAGTGCATAAACGCAGAAGTAGATGAAATTTCTGTATTAATGGATTGATGGGGTCCAATATTGGTTTTAATATTGGCCGATTCAAGGACCACAATTTACAAAGTTACTTGACGTAAATAAATTAACAACGTGTTTTAAATTATATCAAAATCAATGCAAATGAAAAGGACTTGGAGTTTGATTAAACAATGACAGAAAAAATATAATAATTCAATAATATTCTATTTGACAAAATAAAGTTTTTTGGTTTTGAAAATGTAATTGGTTGGTGAATGTTGAACACAGATATATGTCAATTCCGAATCCGAATAATCAGCGCTTCCCCTCGTAGCTGTATTGCTGTTTGCGGTTTGTTTGGAATATGGAACTATAGAATAGAGAATATACTATAGAACGTGAAAGCAGAAGCTAGAACAAAACGAATTAGCAAGAGAGATGAAGTATGCCTTTGGCCAGGAACCCATCATATCATTGCGCTCTCTTCTTGTAAATTGGATTTTGCTGCTTTCAAAAATTCAATATTCTAATTTTTTTGCAACCAAGATCCGTTAGAAACCCTAGACAAGACAAGGTTACAGATTCACCCGAGCGATCACCAATGGAGATAATGACAATAATAAAACTGTGCACATGGGAAAATAGAAAACCGGAAACAAACATGGAATAACTATTTGGAAGCAGGGCAATATTGGTGTGGTCTGCTCATAGATATAAGAAAGTGACCAATTGCTTTTGAATGGGAGTATCCAAGGGTGGTCATTAACATACAATGCAACAACATTATTACCTAAAGTTTCGGAATTTAAATTCAGGTAAAATTGTGGTCCGTAATAGAAAATAATTTTATACCTACCTGTGTTTAATATTCTTTGGTTTGGTATTCTACTTAGTTTAAGGTATGTAATACAACGTGGGTTGAATCGTGTGCGAATTATGCAAAATATGTGCGAGTCTAGTGTACCTCAGGAGATGTTCCTGCCCAAATGTAGAAAACACTATTCCATTGAGACTAAGGAAGTTATGAACAATGTTTATTTGACTCGCATTGAACGTGGTGCCAGCAAGCAAGCATCTTTAGAAGAAACGGCTACATTGACGAAAATTGCAATATCAACTGTATGAAAAAGTATGAATAATCCCATTTCAGCGAAGAAAAAAAGAAGCGATGCTGACATTTTCTCGAGTGTAGATGAAAGTGATCAAGATATAATACGACGTAAAATTTACCAGTTATAAGAGGAACAAAGCGTGCCTATATCTATCTATAGATATCTTAATTAGGAGGCTTGAAAAAGATGAAACTGGTGTTAAATGTTCCAGAACTACCTTACGGAAGTGTATTCAACACATGGGTTTTAGGTTTAAAAAAATTCACAAAAGGCAAGTTTTAATGGAATCTTTTAGAATTCGGAAATGGCGACTGGAATATCTAAAAAAAATAGGATTTACAGAAAATAACAAACGAAAAATATTTACTTGGATGAAACCTGGTTCGACACTTATGATACCCCGGAAAAGGGTTGGGTTGACTCAACTGATATGTGTAAAACAAACGCGTCATCAAAAAGAGGTAAAAGAATAACTATTTTGCATAATGGCTCTGAAGATGGTTGGATTCCAAATGGACTTTCTCTGTCTGCGAAAAATATTAAACATTCTTCTCTGGATTATCTAGAAGACACCACCGCTGATTTATTTGAAAGTTGGTTTAAAAACAAACTAGTTCCAAACATTCCACCTAATGGCGTCATTGTTATGGACAATGTAAGTAGACAGTTGACTAAAACGCCTTCCTCATGTGACACAAAAGCAACAATCCAAAACTACATGTATAATCACAACATTTATTTTCACGAAGATTATAAAAGAAAACAATTAATTGAGGTTCTACAAAGCTTGAACCTACAAAAGAAATACGTCTTTGATAATTATGCAAAAAAGCTAGGGCACACAGTTTTAAGGCTTCCACCTTACCACTGTATATATAATCCCATTGAACATGTTTCGCACCAACTGAAATCTGCCATTTGTCGTAACAATGTTTTTCCCCTGTTAAGTCCAATGGACTCAAACTCATAGAAACCAAAGTTTTTAACATCTCTCCACAAAGTTGGGCAAATTCTGTTAAACATATAGAAAAAGCAGAACAATCGTATATCCATATTGCAAATAATATAGAACAAATAAATAATAGAACAGGCGATGATAGCGATAGTGATACTGATATATTATGTGAATAATTTTAAGTAATTTAAGTAGGTAATAAAAATTATTTGTAATTTTATTTTAGATTTAAACATAAATACATACATAAATAAATAAATATTGTTTAATATCTTTCCTAACAAAACCCCAAATAATTAAATTCTAATCAAAGTACGGACCTGTTCGGCCATACTTCATTCTTACAGCTTGCCCGGGTATTTCCTTAATTCGTATCAGTTAGTCACTTTTTTATATCTATGAATAGACTTTACCAAATAGACTCCAAAGGGGTGCAAGTTGGTATTTATAGTAATCATCAAAGGAGCTATCGAGATCTTTTCAAAGATTATCAATATATGATGGCAGTAATATCTCTTCAGTGCTAAGGCTGAGATTGTAGAGAATGCCAAGGGGTTGACTCCATGTTGGGTACTCGAAGCAGAGTAATGTTGACACCTGAACGCAGTAGACTGTAGGGGAGCAAAAGATCTCACAAAATGCAATAGTCGATGTTTGTGCGTGACGGAATGAAAGATCATCCAAATCATAATTAATAATTTTTAGTTCTTAGTAGTTCTTAGTCAGGTACTTTAATTAATTCATTGAACATTAATTTTGATCAGTCTTTTATGGTCTCAGTCATAGAACTACGTCAAAGATCTTATTCGTTGTTCAGGGTCTGAGAAAGCGAAAATTACCTTGAATATCTCCGTTTCCATCCTTGTTGCTGTCCATAAAGGATCTCGGATATATTTGGTAAAAAACTGCAGTTTTCCACCACTCGTCATCATTTGATGCGCCATCATCCGTCGACGATTTGATTAAGTACCTCTTTGAAATTTCGGCATTGACCAAAACCGTCCAGGTTAGCAAAACTAAAAAAATTAATTTGGATGCCATCTTCCGAGACGCCTACAACGGAATAAACGAATTCTACATAAATTTGACGTGCTGATAAATCTCAATTATATATAATAATCGGTATGTTTGCGAGTCGATCGTATCTGCAGGACTCGTTTCAATGAAATTACGATCAAATCAAAATACCTGACAGTAGAGAGCGCAATTGTAATATGAAAAATTTTGCCTTGAAAAGAATAATGCCGGATAACGAAGATGCTTTGTATAACGCTTCCCAAAGTTATAGTTATTTTAACTGTATTTTTAATAGTGTTTGTCGCTAAATCAAAAATCAATTTCAACCAAATTCATGTATTTAATTTATTTATGGAATACTGCGTCCTTATTTACAACAGTAGAAGAAAAAATAACACAAAAGTTGTAGGATGGGAGTTGATGCATATTTTAAAAATATTTGTAAATATACGGGGTGGGCCAAAAAATTGTGACGTCATAAAAAATATATTACACACCCTGTCTTTTTTGTGGCAAAATAATTTTTTATTTGCTTCGATATTTCAGGCGCAACAAATGAAAACAAAAATAGAAAAATTTATGTTTTCTTTTCTTTAAGTAAAAGGGCGCCTTGCTGCAACTTTGACATTTTGAGATATGTATGAGAAAAATAAGACATTTTAATTAAATAAGCATCGTTTAAAAAAAATACAATCAAACCGAGTCCTGTGATTAAGGCCGACATCATCCACGATGTCAAAGAACATATAACCGCTTATTTTCTCGTCATTTCCCGTTTCACAATTTCCCCATTTAATTCAATTAACTCCGGGTCCATCGTTCGGAAACCGGAAAGGAATCCATTAAAAAATAACGTTTTTTTCGAGAGAATTTTCCGATAACGCACACGATTCCGAAAGCGGAAACATAAAAAATGAACACAGTAAATTATATCGGTAGACAACAAATTTCCTCGGGGGCCGTCGACAGCCACATAATTGAATGGGTCTCGCTGGCATCTCAACAAAAATATTGTGCTGGGACGGAGGGACTTCGATAGTTTATTTTCCAAACAAGCGAAATCGACAATTTCTCGTATTTCGACCGTGCATGCGAAAACGCTGACATGCTTCTGCAGCGCATAATTTCAATCTGGAACGTTCCAAATCAATCACCAATATCACCCCATGAGTGGAACCAATACTTTGAAATGATGCTGCCTGAAGATAGGTCACAATTTAAAGATGACCTAAATGTAGGCTCAAATATAGTCATACAAGGATCCCCAATACGAGCAACAGTAAGGAAGGAGGTCAAGGAAGCATGTAAAACACTAAAAAATGGCAGAGCCCAGGACCAGGAAATATCTCGGGGAAACTTATAAAATGCGGAAGTGAAAAACTGTATCATGCATTGAGACATTTATTCCAAAGATGCCTTAACACATCGGCAGCACCCGAAGAATGGAAAATGTCATACTTGTCAACTATCCACAAAAAAGGAGACAAAAGCAACTGCTACAATTATCGAGGTATAGCGGTTACAAGTTCCCTCAGTATAATATATGGAAAAATACTAAAAAAACGAATAGCTTTTTATTTTAAAAGAAGGCGCGGATTCTTGTTCTAGAGGGACGCACTGGACCACTATGGAACTTTCGCAAAATCGATGTAATTTGATTGTGAATACACCCTGTATAAAGTGTCCTTCACATCTCGTCGAACTTCAAAGTTACGGCACACTTCGGTAAATATTAAAATTTGTACTGGTAATCGCAATTTAAATTTATATTTTTTCAAATATCTTGGGTCCCCTCCATTACAGACGAAACCTTAAACTCTCTCTCGACACAGCATAGTGATTTTCATGTGGATTTTTTCAAGTATCTCGAGCAGCGTGTGTGACGAAAACCGCAACTGAACCAGCAAGTACACTGTACTCATAAAATTTAAATTACATACAATTATATACTTATCAAGGAAAATGCTGTGTAATTTGTTGTATATGAAGTAAATGTTTTTTTTTAATTTAGAAAACCGTTATCCATGAAATATTTCGTTATATAAAATATAAGTGTCATGTACTTGAATCAAAAAATACATTATTTTCATTAAAAAAAATCTGCTTTGCAACAGAACTATTTTCACTTGAGCAAATGTTGAAACAATTGAATATCGACTAAAATTTTCATCATTTATATCTCTTGTTCTTTTAAATTTGTGCAAAGCACTATCTCGTTGCCTCATAAAGATTTTTAAATTAAATAATTTAATTTTATTGCCAATTTTCCTTCCAACTCTGAATTAAAATTTGAAATTTATTGTTTGAATAAAATATGGGTAAGAGAACTTATGTTTGCAGATATTCTGGTAGGCTCCTCCACAATTTGTGTATATTGGAATTTTGTCTAAAAAGTGCTCTTAGCGGATTGAGTGGGTTAATTAATTAAAATCTCCTAAACAAATGTTTAATAGAGGAGGCAAAATAAACAAAAGTCATACGTCTTATTTTGTATTTTAGTTGAAGATAAACATGAATAATTATGTTTATTTTTTATTTATTTATTTATTTATTGAAGTAAAGTAATCACCAGACTAACGCCCAATAACGGATTACAGTCAATCAACAGTTAGCAAACAAAGAAAAGAGAACACATGCGTAAGGCCAAGGGTTTCATCTATGTACTAAACTAATAAATTAACATGTTACTTTTTAATCTCGGTAACGGTAAGTTCTACGGGATCGCCGTTGGTACAGAAATGATCACCGTCGAAAAAAAAATTTTTTTTTGTCTGTCCGTTCTCCGTTCTCCGTTTTCGTCTTTTAGTTTTTCCTGAATAACTTTCGAACCGTTGGAGCTACAAAACTGAAAGCACATCCGTAATACGTGGGAGACCCGACGCTATAACTTTTGTTTCACGCATTTTTTTGATTATATAGAAGGGGTTTTAGTTATGTACAAAAATCTAAAAGACGCTGAAAATTGTTCTTTTAGAGAGTAAATTATTAACTGTAAATAAAAATTCGTACAACCAATAGCTAATCCCTTCAAACAGTGTTATAAAGGTTCATACATTTAGTAACACGGATGACGAATATTTTATAAAGATACTAACTATTCATAATTCCGAAACCCCCATTCACAGGTAAATTTAAAGTTAAATTCGCGACAAGTTTCCCATTCTACAATTCCCCGCTACAGCTACAGCCTGCAACTCCTTAGATATAAAAAGAATATGGCGTAAGTTATTAGCCTCGGAAAGAGACGCGATACGTTTTCGACCGGGATATTTAAAAGTCTTTAACATCGGAAATGAATCGAACCTCCTTTTAACGCAAGAGACAGCCATTATGTGGGCAGTTTGTTTAGTAAAGAAAACGACTACATTTAAAGGGATCGAATTACCCTACTTTGAATTTTCTATAGTGCATTGTCCTCGTTTTCAAGTGGGAGTGACAACCGCTGACAGGCTTTTTCTTAATTTCTTTTGAAACACGCTGACGGTGCGAGCAATACGGCAGACCAAAAGTGCATTGACCAAAGGGTTTTGTTTTTTTTTTTCTGTAAAGAAACATTTTTTTATTTAGGAATTGAAATATCGTTCGAAAGAAAAACGAATTCGAAATTTTAAACAATCTGGGGCTCCCTTGCGACGGAAACAATCTGTTTCTACATTACTATGATCAATATTGTTAAAACTTTAAGTGGATATGTAAAATCGTATTCTGTTTCGTTCATCTTTTATCAACAATAAAACAAGACCATAACCAACATTACTAATGGCCAAGAATTGTAAACCAATCCCATAAGACTTGTGACGTAAGCGAAGTCCTCTAACAGTTTTTGTGTCAATGCATTTGAAGGCGTATTAAATCGTTGTATTTTGTGTTCTTTGAACAATTAAAATAGTTTAAACTAGTGAGTAGTGTCCTTATGTTTGTGTTAATTGTATTTCTGTAAAAAAAACTTGGACAAAACAGTGTTTTTAAGCTTTAACAAATACTTTAAAATTGAATGTGCTTGAGTGGCTAGAACTGAGAAAAACAGTATTTTTAACCTTAAACAAAGACTTCAAAGTTTTGTGTTCGTGCTGCTTATTAGCGGTGTTATTAGTTAGGAGGTAAGCTCAAAATATTACACATAATAATATAGGTAAAGGTAAGAAATACATTTCTTTTACCGTTTTCAGTGGGATAAGTTACATCAAAAAATAGTTAGGTATGCCTGGAACGAGATGTGCCATATATGGGTGCAACAACAACTATTTTGATGAAAAAGCAAGTTCTCGAAAATGTAGTTTTCATCGCTTTCCCAAAGGGAAAGATCTAGTGTCCCGAACTATTCGGAAGGAGTGGATAGTTCGATGTAGAAGAGAGGACAAACGTGATCCAAATAAAAGCTATGTCTGCTCAATTTATTTTACAAAATGAGTTATTAGGTTCTTTAATATATTCAAAAATAGGGATTTCTAGTTTATAAGTTTTGTTAATTTTTGCATATTTAAAATGGTAGCATGCTGTAAAACACAAAGTTTTACAGGTTAATCGTTTTGTTGCTAGTTTTATGTATTTATGTGTAACAATATTTAATTAATATATGTATTTCAAGATAATACATATAAGCCAAACCTGATTGCAACAGTATTACTTTTACCCTACCTGAGACCCTACCCTACGCTACTTCCCAATAATTATTAAATAAGTACTAAAATGATTTAATGTTGATATTAAATGAAAATAACGAGTGATTATCCAAACAAAATGCTATATTAGCTACTCAAAATACTCAAAGTCCATCAAAACTCGGGTCAGTTTCAGATTATTTCCATGCAACGCGCCAATACAGGACTTCACCTACGTCACAGCGAGCGAGAGTTTTCGCATTGCATTTGCAGATAGATTTGACGGATTAGGCAATCCTATTAGGTTTGCGATTCTTGACTAATGGCATTGCCAATTGGCTATTGAACTAAAGAAGAATGCAACAAACTGCATTGAACATAACCTACCATAGATAACTTACGTCCTAACCGCGTTTCATTTCGTTCTTTGTTTTCTTTTAACAGTAAGTAAACTGTTTCTGCCGAAATATGCTCTAAAGTTGTTCATTTTTAGTTTGGATAAGAGATGAAGGAAAAAAGTGTAGGCGAAAAATAAAAAGAAAAATTATTTAATAATTCTGCT